ATTCTGTTCTGTCTACTCCACCCATCTAAGCTGCTGTCCTATCAAAGGTCAAGGCAATCTCTTTATTAACCAATAAAAGTAACACATAGACAGATAACCCTCCTCCATCACTTTCTGCCCACTCCTATACTACCTTCATGTGCTCAGCTCGGTTTTCACTCGCTCCAGGAAGCCTTTCTAGTTCTGAGGGGATGGCTCTCTCATACCTTTCTGTGACTATACTCGTCTAGTGGCTTCTCAGAAACAATAGCATGTGACTGCCACTAGCCTGTGTGTGTGGACCTTTCCTTCCATTCCAGACCATGTGGTTTCACTTCATCTCGTTATGAATTTGCCTGAAGCAAAGGGGGAGAACCCTGGATGCTGTTGTTGATGGTGTCCACACTGGCACAACCTTCTTTCACTATGGAGACATTCCACATGGTATTGGCTGTTTTACTGGCTCTCAACAAAGTCATGAACTCTAACTTAAGTGGCAGTGTAGTAGGGCAGTGGGAAGAGAGATTGCGTTTAGGCAATGTCTGGGGGCCCTTGCAGGCTTGTCCTCTCCTCTCATTCAGAAGGGGAGCACTGGAAAAGGATTGATACATTCCGTTGTCTCTCTGGAGCATCAGTGATTCAATCAGGCTTTCCATAGAATCTATATATCAGAAGAGTCAGTGGAGCCCCTGGTGATGGGAGGAGGCTTCCCTCTGTAATGCAAATGCCTCCAATCTATGATATCATCATCATCATCTTCTTCTTCTGCATCTTCTTCTTTCTTTCTTTCTTTCTTTCTTTCTTTCTTTCTTTCTTTCTTTCTTCTTCTTCTTCTTCTTCTTCTTCTTCTTCTTCTTCTTCTTCTTCTTCTTCTTCTTCTTCTCCTTCTCCTTCTCCTTCTCCTTCTCCTCCTCCTCCTCCTTCTCCTCCTCCTCCTTCTTTTTCTTCTTATTCTGCAAAAAACCTTTTTATTTAGTCTTAGTGTCTTTCCCATCAGACATCTGGATCCCATTCATTTCCCATCCCTCTGTGTATCTGCCCTCTGACCATGTAGCACCCCCCTCCAATAAAATTTAAGAGAAAAAGAAAAAAATCAAAGCTGTAGTGTGACACAGTGAGTCACACAGTAAACATGCTTGTCCATACATCTTTACGTGCAAGTAAGTGTTCATTACAGAGTATTGGTCTGGTCTGAGGCCTCTGGTTTCTGCTACACTACCCATGCTGGGCTCTTGCTGGAACTCCTCTTCATTATCCTGCTGTTGTCCTGTGTTATGGAGATCCTGCAGCTTTGGGTCTGCAGATCCTTCCCATCCTCCAGCAGATCACAGATGGGGTGGATGTCTGTGATATCCTCTTAGCACCTTCACGAGCTAGGTTCTGTGCCACAGAAGTGACAATACCTGATCTTACCTTTGAAAACCTCACCCATCTCTTAATTTTTATATGAATTATATGAAAAAAATGTCAAGTTGAAAGAATGGAGAATGCACACAGAAATATCAAATTCAGAGGAGTAAGCCAGAGGGGCGTTGGCCTCACATAGTCCGATCTAATGAGCAGTGGCACCTAACCGCATTGGAAAGTGTCTCCAACAATGTCAGTGTCAAGGGAAATGCAGCCTCGAGGTATTGAGGCATTTTGGGTAGCTCCACTGATTCCATGATGACCACGTGCTCCTTACTCAGGCATGTCTTCCTCAATGTCTTGCAAAGTATTAGGTAAACATGTAAGCGGAGACTGCTCATTGGTTTCCTGGCCATCCAGACCCGAATAATCACACAGAAACTATATTCATTGCAACACTGTTTAGCCTATTAGCTCAGGCTTTTTATTAAGTCACTCTTACAACTTAAATTAACCCATTTCTATTAATCTATGTATCACCACGAGGTCATGACCTACCACTAAGTCTCCAGTGGTATCTTTCTCCTTTGGCAGCAACATGGCGTCTCCTTGACCTGCCTACTCTCTCTTTCTATCTCTGTTTGGATTTCCCACTTGGCTTTATTCTGCCCTGCCATAGGCCAAAGCAGCTTTATCTATTAACCAATAAAGGCAACAGATCCCACATCACATTATGTGCCCTGCCCCTCTGTCATCTTCACCCAATTGTCTGCTCAAGTCTTTGTTGATAGATACTGTGTGGCAACCACTTCCTTTCAGTTCCTTGCTAATTTACAGACCTGATGGTTGATGCTTAGCTGGGAACAGTCACACGGGCAGGCACGGGAGGCATGTGTTCTCACAGCCACCCACTCTGCTGTGTACACACAGATGTGTGTGCAGCCTGCACTGGAAAGCCTTTGTTCTCTGAAGACCGTGACCCTAGTGGCCTGGAAATAATCTGTAAAGACTCCGGGGACCGAGCTGGCTCGTGGGTGAGCCCCTTCCTCTTGCTCAATACTTGGCAGGCTTTTGCGAAGCTGACCTAAGAAGACCCTGGCCTGAGACACAGGGACAATGCGAGTTCCACATTATTTATGACTGTCTCTCTTTGTGTTGTGAGTGACCTCTGGATGGTGGAGCTTAACTGCTAGGAAGTCAGGAAGTCATGTGGGCCTGCGAAGATGGATGGGGGTTTAGTGTTGATGTGTAAGGAGACACGGAGGAGACAGGTGCAGCTCTCGAGGCCACTTGTAGCCGGTAAACGGGACATGTGACTGAGCCCCAGGAGATGGAAATCCTGTTGTTTGCTTTATCATTAAGAGGCTTGCCTGTAAACAGTGGCAGAGATGGTACTGATAAACACGGGCTGTGTGTTTTGCTCCCTGGGTTTGCTAAGGGTAGGAGCAGATCATCTTCACTCCGGAATCTGAACTGGAACCAAAGAGCAGGGCACACAGCCTGCCATCTGCGTGGCTGGAGGAAGTCTAGCAAGAGTCTGTGCTACTGAGTTCCCAGGCTAGACCACAGGCTCAAGCAGCCTGACGGGAACACGAAACCCAAGCCACGCACCTTTTAGGATGAGGATAGAGAGACTGAGGTCCAACCCTCTGCCTCGGAAATCTCGTCATGGCAGAAGTCAGCATCACTGGGTGATACAAATGTATCTCTCTCCATGTTTTTGTGGAAGCTAACCACAGTCCAGGCGAGGTATGACTGTTTCATCAGCGGAAATGAGCACCCCCCCCCCCCCCGCAGGACAAGAAGGTTCTCTTTCCACATAATGTTGGCTCCTTGGGATGTGCTCCTAGGTCTATGGTGGGCAAGGTAGGGGTGGCGCCCTCAGAAGACTCCAGAGGAAGTAAATCGCACTCCATCCAGCCAATCTTTGAGGATGTTCTTTTCGAGACTGCAAAGCTGTTGCGTTGCCTGCCTGTGCCCAGCTGGGTTACCTTGTACAGACTGTAGGGGTTCCTGTGTAGCAGACCTGTGAGAGCCGTGAAGGGACTCTGCTTTGCTGGAGATCAGGGTGAGGTGGGGGGCTTGTTGCTGCTTCTGGAGGGTTCCATTCAGGACAGAAAGGAAGATACAATGAAGATGAAAACTTAATTACCCCTCTCTCCCCTCCTCCACCCCTCCCTTCTCCTTCTACTGTTTTCTCTCCTTTCCCTCATTGGCCCTGGTTGTCTTACTCTTCTCTCCTCTTCTGCCCTTTTCAAAGCAACGCCCCCACTAGGACTTCCTGAGGAAAAAAAAAATCTCAGTCAGAAATCACTCTGTGCTCCCAGTGGCCCAGCTCAGCCCTGACATCCCCGTATCTCCTGGGCAGCCACCCTGTATATCTATCACCAGGGGCCACTAAAAGGCTTCCTGCCCATTCTACTGGCAGCCCTTCTTGGTGAGGGCTCTTGACAACTGCCCTGGGAAGTAAACAGCCCCGACTCAGTGGAAGGAATGTGGCATTTGGGGCCAGGCAGACCTGGCCTCGGCTCCCGGATCTGCCACTTCATACCTGTGCATTCCCAACGAACATTGTTTGCCCTCTCCGAGCCTGAACTTCCTCGTTCGAGAAATAAACACTATAGAGATGACAACACCACCTTCCTTGGAAATGGCTTTGAAAGGAAGAAATTCAATGCCTTGCGTGCAACTTGCCTGAGATCCCTGGGGTTGGGAGGTGGGGGAAGGAGCTTTAGACCTTCAGGACATTCTGCTGTTGCCCAATTTTTTGTGCCCTTTCGATCTGATTAACAGCGAGGCTTCTCCAAGACACCGAAATTACAGAAACCTCGAGGCGTTTGTTCCATGTAAGGAAGCCCTGACACAGCCTTCCCAGGGTCACCTTTCTCCCCACCCTGTGCCCCTGTCCTCCTGGTGCTAGCCATGCATTAAGGGACTCTTAACAGCCCACAGTGCCCTGCTAGACCGGTTCTGGTAAGCAATGAATTGCTTGTATTTTCAGACTGCGTACATGTGGTTGCAGAATTTATAGTAATAGAACCTGGCTGATCCACGGTCCCTAAGATCTCTGTCATGGATCCTCCTTGTAAGCAATTCGAGGCACCTTTGTCTTTCCAGACTTTGGAGACAGGACGGTTGGGGAATCTCACACGGAACGAGGTGTGCCATCTTGGTGTACCCTGTGGCTGCTCCTCTGTGGGTACCACTCAAGGCCGTCGGATGAAAGCAGCAGATTTAACCAGACAGGGCTTTCAAGAGATATGGCCCCATTTTGAAAACCAATGGAAAGCTGGAGAACATAGTCAGGAACCGTATACTCTCCCGGAAGTCAGCTGCAGCTGAAGTCCCTCGGCAGGAAGTGCTCCAGCTGCCACCGCCTGGCTCTCAGGGTCTTGGCACTGACTCCTGTTGCCATTTGATATAGAGCCTTGATTTTGTTTTTCTATGTCGTTGCATGACATGCTTAAGAGTCGTGGCCAGAGCTGAAGCACCCTGCAAACTCTTCTTAGGGCTGTCATTACGTTCTGGGTGCCAGAGATGAGGAAGAACCCTCTTTGGTTTCACAATTCATATAATAGGGAGCCCTCCTCCCCCCAACAGAGCAAGCAGGTGTTAAAACATTAGTCTGAATGATAGAAAACTAACAAGCCTTATTTGTTGTCTTCTAAATACAGCCTTGAATCCAGGAGGAAAAATGAAATAATTCAAGTGTCCTGCTCATTCCCACAACTGTGTGAACTGGAATTCCTGGTGGGTGGGGAGATGGCGCAGGTATTAAACTGTCTGTAAGATTGACTGGCCAATTAAAATCTCAGTCGTCGTGGAGAGTTAGAACGTTACAGGTTTGGATCCAAATTATATTGGGCTGTTTTAACCCCCTAAATAGCCATTTATTCCCCACCTCTGTGTGTGACCTAACTTCCTTTCGGCTTAGGTAAATCCCTTTATAACGTACAATGAGATGCCTGGCTTCCATCAACCCAAAGACTAAGAAAGTCACCAGGTAATGTCTGAGACCTATAGTAAGGATGCCTCTGTTCTGTAATAACCTGCCTTCCTGGTGTTTCCACAAATATACTAGAAAAGTGACTTAATTTGTAATTTTCTTTCACCTGTTACTATAAAAACGTAGTGAGACTGCTCTTGTTTTGGGATATGATGTTTGAGACAACCTGAATCTGTGTTTCTGGATCATTGTCACTAATATTAGGCTTCAAAATAATATTTTATTCCTTTTGTGATATTTTTGCATCCCCTCTTAGTACAGCAACAACAATAATAAAAGTTACTGACTTGGGAGCAGTGACTTCTGTGAAGTAAATATGACCAGTTCTCCTGCATGCTTCTCTTAGGATTGCTACAAAGGTCAGATTATAACAATAGAACAACATAGCACACCATAAAATGCTGTATCAAAAGAGCAGACAGTTTGGATGTTTTCCCTGTTAGGTGGTGAACCCCAGGCTAACCGCGTTTACAACAGGGGCTGCTCGTTTCTGGAGTTTGGTGACGTGTGCAGGGCCATCAAGACTGTGACTCAGCAATTCCAGCTTCCAAAGCTCAGGCACAGACAGATCTAAGTGAGCCGACAGGAACCCCTGAGCTGGCAGGAACCACACCTAGGTATGTCTGATGGAAGCTGTCTGAGGTTGTCTTTGGATGAACTAGTTGGAGACTCAAGAAAGCCCGAGCTGGAATTGGAGATGAAATCACAAATATGTGTGACCATGCTATAAATGGCCTTAGTCATTGATAATACCCAGAAATCAACACATGACATCAGCCATCAAACACCAAAGTGTCAGGAAACGCCTATTGGAGGTTGGAGTAGCTTAGCTTTCAAGTGGACGTCTAGAGGGACTATAGTAACACAGAATCTGTGGCACATCTGTACCTGAGACCCTCCTGCTAGATCATCAGTCACAGAACATTGGGTATCTGCGATGGACGCTTCCCACGGTGTAGCATGCTCTTCACGCCAAGGTTAAGAGCCTTCTGGGAAAACAGGCACAAAGGCAGTGGGGTATGAGGTTGAGACAAGGCAGGGTTGACAAAAGCCTGCAGGAAAGCTCCCAGGGGGCCGAGTTTATTGCTACGCTAAGCCAGAGGACACCGTGACGCCTCTCTCCTGTCTGTGAAAGGCACCTCTAAGGAACCAGACAATGAGAGATCAATGTGGACCCTCCCTAGCCTCCAGCCTGCAAATGGTCCGAACACCTACACGATGGGGTCCTTGTCCTCAGTGGTGCCACCAACCTGCGGAGCAGTCCTCGGCAAGTTCCTGACTTTCTGTGAAGTGAATCTCGGTTTGCACAGCGGGCCGAAGGGATAACGGCAGAAGGAATGTAAATGGATGGAGTGAACATCGAAGGCGTTTTGATTTGATTAGCTCGTTCACACTGTCAGATGGGCAGCCCCTGGCAGGTATGAGATGTGGTGGTGACGGAATCTGATTGGCTAGTTAAAAAGATGTATTTAATACCAGTTGGGAGGCCGACAGGGAAGGGACAGACAAGTGGCTTCTTGAACCAATTCTGGCATGGACTGGTGTGGGCAGAAGGGAAGTAAGTGGCAGATAATGAGGAAACGTGTCGAGTGGTTATGAAGATTAGTGTTAAGTAGGAATTTGATAAATGGCAGTTAATATGATGATCACCCTTATAGTTATTCATTCGATCCTTAGCACGCACTAACTGTAGACATGCGCTTGGAATGCGGTACAAGGGACGCATTTTAACTATTGTTTATGTGTGTACCATGCAGTGCCTTTCGTATGGTTGACACTGTACTCATCAATGTCAGAGTTTTTCAGAGAGGGACAGAACTGACGGAGGGTAAGTACAGGAACCAACACGTGATTACAGAGGCTGTGCCCTGTGGTCCACATTAAGTAAGGTAGAGACCCAGGTGAGAGCCAGCAGCGCCATCCAAGTCTGAGAAGCCATCAGAGTAGTTTCTAGCTGGGTTCCACGTCTGGAGGCAGAAGAAGATGGCTGACCCAGCGTGAAGCCCGACTGAGAGAGCATGCTATCACTTTCTGGGTTTCTGATCCCTTCAGACCTTGAACAGATTAGAGAAGTCCACTGTCATTGAAAAGGGTGACGTGCTTTCCCCTGCCTGCCACATCATCCAATGTGACCCTCTGCAGGACCTCCGTCAGACACAGCCAGAGCAAAGCTGTACCAAGTATCTAGCCACCCTGCGACCTGTCAAAAACCACGCATGAGTGGCTAGTTACCATGGACTCTGCCAGTGTTAGTTTGTTTCATACCACAGGTTCTTCCTTTGCCCTCATTTTACAGACAGGAAATTGAGACTCAGAGATCTCACATAGCGAGCGGGTGGTGGGGCTTGGTTTTAACCTACGAGTCTGGGTTGAAGAGTGGATTAAGAAAAGAAATGGTCATCAGGTCTAGTTGCGAAGCAACTCAGCAGGGCCTGGTTGAGAATCTCTTGCCTGGGGTTTGAACAGTTTCTGTGAGGAACTGAGCTATGTTCCAGAGCCCCAAGGCCGGGAGGACATACCATTTTCACAGCAGGTTCTCGAATCCCTGGGTACCGGGGCTGGGAACCCTTAGGAAAACTTGTGACTCTTTGCAGTACCCTGTTTTCACCCCTAATCAAAACTTACTAATGAAACAAACAAATCAAAAATCAAAAATTAAAAGTTGCCTGTCTGTCAGTCAGCCAAGAGTCTAATTAGTGGGAACTAGACCTTACAATCCCAAGGCAGGCTGCCTGCCCGCTGGAGGAAGCCTGATAAGAGGACACAGCCTAAAGTGACTTCTAGCTGGCAGCGGGACGGGGCCTGGAAACAGTAGCGGGCGGGCTCCAAATCCCTGTACGGTTCCCACTAGTTAATGTCAGTTCCTCCTCTGGCATGGAACCACACTCTTCCTGACCCACCCATTTGTATAATTACCTCCGGAACTTGGCTGAAAAGCTATCTCCTGCTAGATGCCTTTCCCATCCAGCATTAGACTGTTAGATTTGATGCCCTAGATGGCTCATTCATTTCCCACACATCCCGTGAGGGCCTTGGTGGGGTGTCAGCTACTGAGGGTCCCGGATGGTGTGGGCTAAGCGCGGTTCCTGCCCTACCACTGCTCAGGATTTGCTGTGTTGACAGGAATAGTCAACACTCCTGCCGTCTAATCTGGACATTCGAGTCCTCCCCAAACTCAGTCATATAAGCGAAAAGCTGACGGCCATGTTTTTGTTTAATTTCAGTAATTTTGTTAAATTGCCATGCGGCGTCAGTGGATGTGTTTTGGGGAGCACAGTTGCAAAGCAAATGAGTGATGGTCAAGGAAAGATTATAACAGAGTCTTCAGGGGCTGTAATTAAAATCTTCGTGAGACTGGATGAGGTGCCCAAAGCAGGCCAGTCCACTCTTGTGCCAGTCACCGTCAGTGTTGCTGAGGGAAACAGAAACAAAGTGGTTCTGGATCAGCTACCTAAGTTGAGATTCAAGTGTCTCCCATTTGCTTCTACCTGGATTTATAGAAGGGAAGAGTGAGGCTGAACTAGGGCAGAGGTGGGGGGAGTTCGATGGGAGTCAAGTTCCTGATGTGTCAATCTCTCACTAACATGCACGAAAAGGTCCACGCGTCTTCTCAGGCTTTCCTGGCTGAGGGCTAAATTCCAGGTACTGCTCTGGATGACAGATTAGTTTCATTTGATAAAACAAGATTTTCAGGAGAGACCACACAACAAGTATTTTGGTAAACTTCTATAAATGGTCAAAGATCAGAAAATGAATAAATGGCATCGTAATTGAAGGATTGCTGGACACAGGCCCAGTTGTAACCATACTTTTACCAAAATCAAAGCCAATCACCCAGATTGGCTTCTTTGGGAGGTAAATATCCAGTGTCCAGGGATTGGAACTTTATTTCAGATAAAACAAAGTTCAAGATAGGTCGAGTATATAGGGCCAGAAGGACAGAGAGAAAAAATTAATGTCATATGTGCTAACATAGTAATGAATTTATGGGGATGTGATTTGTTATAACAATAAAAAAAAACCCAGATTAGCATCCCTTCGATCTCAGAAACAAACCATAAACTAACATATGCCTCTCAGAAAAATATGAAAAAGACACCAACTGATCTATTGCCTCCGTCCCAAACACACTTTCTATCTACAGTTGATTGTTTACCCACCACACACACACAGTAGTGTGCACATTAGGTATACCTTATCTGAAATCCACAAAGTCTACTATTTTCCACTAGTCTGGGCCATTTGGATTTAGATGGCAGGATCTAAGATTTGGTTTAAGTTCCAACCAGTTGTTAAACTCGTAACACACGGAAACCCATTTGTAGTTGGCTTCAGGTACAGCTCTGCCTAGAAACCTGGGAAATGCTGTTGTCTTTTTTTCTTCTCGGTCATCCGTCTGACTTTGATTTCCATTAGGCTTATATTTATTTTATAGTCATTGTCTTTCTAGTAACGGGTAGATTGCCACTGAGGGTCCCATATGCACCAAGCATGAGATATAGATAAAAGTGGATGAAAGCAGTTTCTATTTTTCAGTACACATTTTTATCACATTGTATATATACTTGTTTATGATTATTTGTATTTACAATATTTTTCATATTATATATTTATTTGTAATATTTTTCCAGGAAAAAAATTCGGACTGGGTCTTGTTTCTGTCCTTAACTGATCACTATGTTGAAGGGTGGAACCCTGAGGTTTATTCTGAAATATTGCCCTTCTTCTGTGATGGTGAGAGGTTGGGACTTACGTGGGGTTTGACGACATGAACCATGGCAGTTTTAAT